AATATATATTCGTACATTTACACATGGACACATATTTTCATGTAATCGTGAATATCTTAATTTTTTTTGGATGTTCATATATGATTATAGGGATATAGGAACACATGAATATGAATATTTGAAATATAAAATATGATTATATGAGTTTATGAACATATGGATATATGAGTACATGGATATATGAATATAGGGAACATATGAATACTTGAAAGTATGAATAAACGAGTATATAATTATATGAATACAAGTATATACAAATATATGACTATACGAATAAGTGAATATAAGAGCGGATTAGGATATGAATATATGAACATACGATTAAGTAAACATATGTACTTACAAATGTTTGAATATACGAATATATTAATATATGAATACAAGAATATAAATCTATGAATATGTGAGTATATGAATACGTCAATATATTAATATCTGCTTATATTAATATATAAATGTATGAGTATATGAACACATAGTTATACGTAGGCATCGGTTATATACGCAATCGCAAGAAAAAAGGAATAATTACGTGGTATTGTTTCTTAGTATTGAAAGTGATCGTGTTCTTGTTTATATTGAACGTGTGATACGAATTAGTGTATTTATGTATACATAACTACTAATTAACCTTTATTCACGCTCTTGGCAAACCAACACCCAAATTTATGCATCGAAATGCGACATTTCACGCATTTTTCTTTAAGAATGTATTAGAAAAGTAGAATGTATTTAGAGCAACATATGATATGGGCTGGATACTGTACTGAAGTTTTGAATATTCCATGTGAGTAAACATATTTACTTTAAGACCAATTTTTGTTTTATATGATAACCTTGATCTTGTTTTTCCTTATCTTTGTATCTTTAAGTTTTAAATGCCAACTGAGGCCACAAAGGCAATTTTTTAAGTATTCTGTCAGTTGGCGATACCGTGCCTATTTTAACAAGAAATGCCTGGACAAAGCGTAAACGAATGGGCGATTAGACGAAAACGGGGCACTGTGCTGAAAGCTTAATATTATCAGAGAAATAGCGTAAAACGTTAAAATATAATGCAAGAATACCTACATCATGCTGCTGAACCCCGAGTAAGATACAGAGTGGTAGAGAAAAAAGGAAATTATAAGCAAAACAAATTTACTTAACCTAAAAAAATAAAAACACACAAACAGATAGTCGGTATTATGAGCAACAGACGAGGACGTTTGCATTTGTAATTCAAATGTCGTCAACTGAAATTTAAAAATTGTCACTTAACAATAGTTTGAGTAGACGATAAAAATTTTAATTTGTTCAAAAGCAACCAATACCACATTTATGATCAACCTCTGTTTTGATTGTATTGTACAACGATACGTGGAGCGATTCGCTAGGAAAATGTCTGGTAAAGCGATTACAATTGCATTTACATACATTCAAGTAGGTCTACCTAATCCATATAGGACTCCAAGAAGTTATTATCGATCGTCTATCGAACTGTTATTTTCCACTTTAATGAGTGATAAGAGCAGAAACATAACTTATCTAAATTAACAAAACTCTAGATAAATTTCACTGCTGCATTTCACCATGAAGCCATCTAAACAACTTCTTGCATCCGCTATCATTAAAAAAAAAGAATGTTAATAAAGCCTAAAAAATAAGAAGAGGAAAAATTCCAAATTTTTTTTTGTTGTTAAAGAAGAAAATGTAAAAATGTTGCCGCCAGTCATTCAATTATATTAACAACGAAATTAATTGATTTTATGGAAGCCAAAGCGAAAAATCGCTACTGGTTATAAAAATTTCATAGTTTTAGCCTGCATAGATGCCATTCGTATTAAGAAGTGCAACGAATGTGTGCGCATGTGCATAGTGATAGTTAGTTATATTATTAAAAAAAATAAAAGAAAACTACGCAATGTTTCTAGTTAGCGATATTTAGGCTTAGACTCATGATCAAGCGTTCTTATCAGTTATGGTTTCAACATATTTATTACACACATCGCCGCACAATACGGGATATATTTTCTTTTTGTCAATATGTTTGTGACGTTCAGAAGCAAGCTCCGGAGATCCCCAAGAATATACATAAACTTATGATTAGAATCACATTCTGAATCGATTTAAGAATGTCCATCGGTCCATCTGCGTGTCTGTCCGTCTGTGCAATGTCTGTTATAAACATTGTAAGTTCTTGCATGCAGGTTGCTATTACAAATAAACCAAATCGGTCGATGGACACGCCTACAGTACCAAGTAAACCGAGAACGCCTCCTTTTTCCAAAAGATATTAAAAATTGTTTTTTTTGCTTACTAAGCATAAACTGCAGCAAATAAATCTACAAAAATTTGAAAGTATATTCTATGGGCGATGCTTAAAAACTTCGAGAAAATTGACCAAGCATGCCCAATATTAGAGTGTATTAAAATGCAATTCAGTCAGTAGGTTTCCAGAGGGGAAAAGCAAGCTTAAAGAACTCCATAAAATATAAACATTCTTGGCCAGTTCCAAATCCGGTATGCACCTAAGCATGTCCGTCTGTTCGTCTTCCCGCTTGCCCGCCGATCCAACTGTGTAATGTCTGTATTGTATATTCGTTCATAAAAAAGAAGATATCGCCTACAAAATTGCAAAAGAATTTGAAAATGGCCCAAGCAAAGCTCCTACGCCTATGCAAACAAAATTGAGAACAGCTTTGCTATCCGCGTCTTTTACTCTTTGCTCACAAACTACAACAGATGCATAATATAAATGTTCATAAAATTATTGTACAAAAATAGAAAAGATTAGCCACGCCCATGCAACATTGTGGAATATGCAAACCTATGTTATTCGCATTTTTCAATCCTTCAACTGTGATGGGTATAAAAGATTCAGTCGCAACCGAATATAATTTTCTTACTTGTCTCATTTTTTTTTTTTTTGCATTTTCTTATTTAACTCATTCAAGTTATAGTCGACAGGTGGCCTTTTTTTAATGTGTTTTTCTCTTGCTTGCTTGCATAAGTCGCTGCATATTTTCAATATGCACAAGAACTAATTAATAACCCGCGAAAGAATCAGGTCAAAATATCTAACGTATTGAGGTTTATGATCGCTTAAAAGTTTTGCAATTAAAAGCAAAATTTTAAAATATATTAAAAAAAAAACAAAAAAAAAACAAAAAAAAAGAGGAAAAATCATGTCACCAGATATCATTTGGAGTAGACTGGATTTATATGCTTTTCAAATAGCTATAGCAAAACGAGGCTCGCTATTAATTGAAGGCTGTGAAATCTAATCTATTAATTTATAACCAAAATATTTTCTGTAAATTATAACTAAGAAACTGAATGAAAAGACAGACACGCAAAAATGACAGGCGGAGATGCACAAACATACATAACATAAACATAGAAATATATGTCTGCCTCCTAATGCTAAACTTCAATTTACTTACCCGTGCATTTTTTTTTTCTTCTTCTTCTTCTTTTTTTGCCTTTTGCTATCATTATCTCTTATTCTCGGTCTATGCTTTAAGCGAGAACGATCGTTTGTCTGCTTGTCTGTCAGTTCGTTTATTTGTGTGTTGTGTGTGATATTCCTTCTTTCCAAACATGCCATGTGATTTATTATACCATCAGAATTCTTTACGGTTTACAAGGAAATTGTTTTTTAATACTTTATGACAACTTTTCCACCGAAAATCGGAAAGCCAAAGAAATAGACAAAACAAACTTGTGATAAAAAAAAAAAGTCAATGTTTGTGAACATCTGCGGTTAATTAAATTATTAAATAATCTATCTTATGTTATGGCGCAAAAAATTTTTTACAAACTAAGTAACATTTGAAATATTTTGCGTGAAAGAAGACCTTTGCTGACAGGCAAAGTCGAAGTTTTCTTCTTGCCACAATAAGGTAAGTATTGGGTTACATACAGACTTAATTGGGACAAGTTTCTCCTTAATTTTTAATACCTTCACCTTTACTGTAAACCCTTACCGGCAGTGACTTATTTATACATTTGATATAACAAACTGATAAACTCATGCTGTAATTCGGTTTGCTATACCAGGTAAAGTGAAATCTTGAATTGGTTTACTCAAATTCCATATGAATATCCGTCGGTCCTTTTAACATTTCTCTTTCTTCTTTCGGTCAAGTCATGCAGGAGATCTTCCATTCGCTTTTTTAATCTTCCCGTTTTTCCGAGTACTCAAACTTCTGTCAATTCCTTTTTTTAATCAGTCAGTTGTTCTTTTGCCAGTAAATCAGTCCATACAACAATTCGTTTAAATGTCATGCTCTTTAATCAGCCCATTTGTGCCACTTCCTTTGATCTCATCTTTCAGTTCATCATACTAACAACTCATTGCCCATAAGTCCAATGACTGTCAGTCCATTTGTTTTGTCAATCCTTCAGGGTGTCAATCGTCTTGCGAGTTCTTCAGCACGCCCTGTCTCTTGTGTCGTTTACTTCGCCGATGTTCGTCTGTTATATCTCAGTCGTCTCTCTGTCCGTCCATCCATCTGTGAGCGTACTCATTTAGCCATGTTGTCAGTCCGTCAGTTCGTCGGTCTGTCGGTCGGTAGCCTAACTCTCAACCCTCTATTTACCGTCTGTATCATTTTCTCGGATTTCACCTCATCTCGTGCTTTCCGCTAGAACTGCCATGTGTTTGGCAGTCCGCTCGTCTGCCATTCGTCTTTTAGCAGACCATAAACGTATTTGCCAGTTGTCTTCTATACAGGGGTGATGTGATTATATAAGAAATAATTTGCAATAGTTTTACAAAGTCAGCGCTCTATCCATTTCAAATTTTTAAAGTGCTACGCGTGCATGACCTGGGCATATAGTTCTACTAACACAACCACACGAAATAAAAAACTTTATTTTTGCTTATTCAAGTTAAGTTGGTAAGCATTAAACAGATATTAGATTTATATATAGATATATATACATATATATATTTTGTTTTTTATTAAAAAATGAATTTTCATTTATGTCTTTCTCACTATTTTACAAATCCATACCATTCGAACCGTTGATAGCGGCGTTCGCCCAATGTAAACCACTTATAAGATAACTTAAATAAATAATTAAATGCATTATTATCGAATTTGATTGAAATTAAATTTACTTATGAGATCACGCGTCCGTTCAGAAGTTGATATTTCAAGAAACTGTTTTTCTATTTAATAAAAAATAAATTTTGCCAATTGTAGCATTAGTTAGTTTGATTATAAGAAACAAGTTTCTATAAAAAATATATAAATAAAAAAATAAAAAAATAAAAAATTTATTATGCACAGACATTCAAGTACATTTCGGTGTACACTGACAGACATTTATTCATGTCGCTATAGTATGTCTATAAGTAGGTACTTGATTTTGCGAAAGGTTATAGTTGCAAAAGACTTGTTCTCCTAAGCAATTTAAAATAAAATAAATTTACAAACAGAAAAAAATAAAAGTAAAATTAAATAAAATTAATCAAAAATCATAAAAAAAAAAATAAAAATAATATTCAACTAAAAATAAATATTTTGCTTTTCGCCACTGACGATTTCTTACTTAACATACAATGCATTCAGCTACAAATTTGTGCACAATGAAGCCTTTGGGCGAAAATGCATTGTGTGTCGTATGCAACATATTACTCATAAGTGATAAAAGGCCTTAAAGGCACTCTGCCATAATTTTCGGATATCACTTTTGATTAATGATTTCCGCTCGGTGTTCGCCGTTGAAACCGTTGTAGGGCCAAAGCAAACAACTCAGCTTTAATTTCTCCGGTTTCTTTAAACGCTTTACCCACCAGGTGCAAAACTTTTCAGCGAGCGTCCGACCAGAGTGGTGTACATCTTCGACATCGAAATTCCTGGAACGGAATGGAGCAAATCACTTCTGGGTGCTTCGAACGCTCACAGCATTCACATAATTTTTTGGCAAGAATTAAAAAACAGTCTTCAAAACAGAATGTAAGATAATGTCACCTTTTCAGCACACGTTCGTTTAAGACAATCATGTGAGTGTTGCCGGATATATAGTAGGTAATAAACCGCGGAGACTTTTTATATCACCCATTATATATGTCTTACATAAGTTAACACCCCAAGGAATGTTATCACCAGAAGAGGTTGCCGCTAGCAATGTGACTGTAGTGAGAACCCGGAAACTGTCATAAGTGGCGCTGGCACCTGCATCAGCTAATACCTTTAAGCAAATAAAAAGTACAGAACCAATGGAAATTGTAAAGTTGGCGGCGAAAAAAGGCTACTCGCAAGGGAGGAACACGTGTTCTGATTGCTAAAGAATATCTGCTCTATATAATATCTTTTGTAAATAAATTGACAAATATAACCACAATCATCAAGGCTTTACAATTTATATACTGTTTTATGATCAAACTCCGCGCGTCATCACAATTGTCAATGAAGAGAGTTTTACGATATATTTTACACACGTTTTAAAAGTGATGAGCCCCTCACACTAAGCACTATATAAGAGTTTTGATATTCTACGTAAATTCTATGTATGGTTGTAACGCGTTGTACACTCCACGTCACAATACCTAGAAGGAATCAGGATGGGCCTATCCTTTATCACATCAACCAATTCAAAATTCGGGTCTGTCTATGTGCAAATGAAAATCAAATGAATGGGTGGGTTTTAGCAACCAGATACCTCACTTTGGAAAGGTAACGTTATGAATCCACTTTGATCCTTCCATAGATCATTTTTTGAATTCCCTGCCCTAGAACAGTTCCTACAAAAAGCCGGCTTTTATATAACAACAAGTTTGACTTTTAATGTTTTATGATGAAAAGTTCTCCGGAATAGTCATTTCACATATAGACTCACTGCACTAAGATTTCATACTGTGTTTGTGCATTTTTCGAAGCTATTTCTATATAAGGATTGTTATGGAAAATGCATTTTTTGTATCACAACATGGTCTTATTCATTGTGCCTTACACTTGAAGAGTAAAAAATAAGTTGTTTAAATACGTAAGCCCTGTAGGAGTTGTCTTGATAGATAAGCCTTTCCAAGACAAAAGATGTTATTATTAATTTAGCCAGAAGATAAATTCTGAGAATAAGGTCTTAAAGCACTAGCATCTAAAGCTATCGGCTTTATTGAAAAACTCTACCGCACTTGAGATTTGAATTCACGCCCATTGAGTTGTTAGTCAAGACTGCTTGCCTAGTGGACGACTCAGGCGGATAAGCAAAAAATATAATTTTTGTATTTGTTGGAAAAAAATTAGATCAAGAAAGCTCTTAAATTATTATTTGAAGTCTGTACAAGTTATGTTTGCTGCTTAAGCATAAGCGTACCGCAGTGCAACCCATAGAAATGTCATTTAACCGCGTGTACATAGATATCCCGTTTAAACCTTTACACTATCTTAAAATATTCAAACCGTAACATGTACAAGCTTACTTAACAAAGCATATGCGTTAGATAATACACTCAACTCAATCTGTTGAGAGAGAGCATATAAATAAGTAAAAATGTAATAAAAAAAATGTATTACATAAATTTTATAACAATAACTGATATCTTTAGATTTTTGAATGACGTAAAGAAGATTAAAACTAAAGCTACTTATGATTGCTTGGATGTGAAATTTGACAATTGAGAAAAGACGGACAGAGGGACTTTACGAGCATCGCTTTATATCTGACTTTTCACATTTATGAAGTATAGTTTTTGGCATAGCAAACATTTAAAAAAATCCTAATATATTCTGCCGAGGGCGCACTAACACATATACATATACATATATATATATTTTTTTTTTTATTATTTTGTTTTATTTTTAAACATTAATTATTTTTATGCTTTCATGCCCGAAAAAAAACGCCACAAACCGAATATTATTATGCATTACCGGCAAATTTCTTTCTCTGCCTCTTTAAGTATAAAATATTTAAAGAATTTAATGCCCTCACATGCAATAGTCAGTTAGCAATTTTCAGTTAGGAAATTACAGTAACAGTTAGCAAAATAGTGAACAAGAATTTTTTTTTTTTTATATTTTTTTTTTTTTTTTATTTATTAAGTAAGGAGGCGGATTATTTTTTCTCTAAAGCTATTTCTTTTGCAAATTTTGCGGATTAATGTGTTGATTGTTGGTGATGCTGGTGGTGCCAGTGGTGCTGATGGTGATGGTATTGATGGCGATGTTGTTGTTGTTGTTGTTGTTACAAAGTTAAGAATCTTTATGTTCTGTTTATATGGTAATATTGGCTTATTTGGTCATTGTCAGTAGGCACAATTACCAACTATTCACAGTTAAACATTACGTTGCAGAAAAATCAAAAAAAAAAAAAAATAGAGAAAATTACTTCTAAGCTAAGTCTTAGGTTGAAAGCTTATGTAACCACAAATAAACTTCATGCCTACTTATATATCCATCCATACTCTCATGCATGTGCATTGTGTATTGTCAAGTGTAGAAACAAGTGTTTGCTTTTGTTTACTACAATGCATTCAAGTTTCTTTGCAATTCAATATTGCGTGATTATTTGATTGGTTCCCGGTTAATGTATTGAATGGTGATTGAATTAGAGAGACAAACTGCTTTTATTCATGTGGTTGGTTTCTTTTTAAAACAAAAAACGCGAAATGTTTTCATATAAACGCAGATATAACTGCGGGTTTACACGCGTATATATATATATATATATGCACGTTTATATCAAGCGTTACGAATTGGGTCAAAACAATTGTGATAATTATATATGAGAATAGCAACGGAGAGAGGAAAGCAAGCAAAGAAAAAAAACAAAAACATCACATTTTTGTCTTTCAGCGAACCTCAGACACCCATTGCCTAAGCAAATATATTGCACAAAGCTTCTCATTTTCAGATTTTTCTTAGCCGAATTATTGGAAGCCTTGATTAAAATTTGTGCCAAGTGTAACAGGGAAACTCAGACACTCATTACATAAGCATAATAACATATATATATATATATATATATATGGTAAGTTACCTTTTATGAATTATTCATGATTGGATGGATTTTTTTAAATCTAGCTTTTTAGAGTGAGAGAGCCATTCTGCACTTCGATTAAACAAAGCTCAGTTTAATGTCAAAAATTTGTGTGTCTTTACGTCCTCTGATAGCAGGACAAAGTTAAGGGAGGACGGACGGACAGATTGAATTCTGTTGATTACATATGCTTAACAGGATGCCGGACGTTTCAAACCAGCTAATGAAATTAATATACTTCTTTTGCACTGGTCATAGATATAATAAGCTATGAAAAATGTCTGAGAGAAATATTCAATCGTTACTTACAAAAGCATATTTATGCATTTTTCAATACCAAATCATTTATCTCCGATAATTACGTGTACTTATTTACAATATACGCTTCAGGTCACCTCTTATATACGTAGCATATTTTCTAGTTAAGCTATTGAATTAGTTAAATGGTTTAGCTCAGATATGTATGCAGCTAAGCCCACTAACAAGAAATTTATCAAAAATGTCTTATTTAGTGGTATTGCTTCAAAAAATGATTGAAAGAACAAGTATGCGAATTACTACGCATTAAAAAATGTTTTTTTTTTTTTACTGCCTAAGTTTATCGACAATTTTCTTTCATACTTGTTAAGATCAGAATTTGATTTGCTTATCTTCGCACTTAACATGCATCGTTCTTTAATTTGCTTTATACATTACGTTCTCTTTAACTGGCTGCTAAATATTCCGTAAATCGAAATCATTTGCTATTCTCTACTTTAATAATTCAAAATAATTAGTTTATAAATATTGACGTCAGAGTCGACTAAGCTGTTGATTAATTAAACACAAAAGTGCCATGGAGCACAGAGCCTTCCGACATATATTTTCGCTTTAGGCATATTTTTTTTTTTTTTTTTTGCACACGGCACATTTCTTTTTATAAACTGGTAATACTCATAGAATTAAGCTTTCAAGTAGCCACAAGTTTTGAAGAATCCCTATTTGAAATATTAGATCAAATCTCAACTCCCATCTGATGTGCGAGACTCGATAGGTTTAGTGTTTTGCAAAGGGAAAGGCCACTGTGAAGGACATTTATCTCGACGAATTCGGCCTTTTTCCTTAAATTAACAATTCTGAAAGCCATTTCAGCTTAAAAA